GAGCTAACAAGGGCCTCCCTTTTCTTTCGTTTTGCTGGAGAGCTCACCAGACCGTTTGAGACTTGAAGCCTCTTCTGAAAGCAGCTGTTCGCATGCAGCCGAGAGATTTGTGCTCTTCTAAGTTGCCTGTAAGGAGTAAAAGATTGGCAAGAAATGGCTGCTGTGATTAGTAAACTGTTTTATTATCAACATTTGGGAATTCAGGAAAAAGGTAGCTCTGACTCAGTTGAAAAGGAACTGAGTAAACTCATGCTGCTGTAGTAATGCAGCTTTGTTATAGGGACAGAAACTTTTCTCATTTCATTCCAGTTTACTCATTCCTATGAATAAATTCACTTGCTGGCATCACAAAAATTACAAATCCATGACTGCATATGGCTTGCAACTTCTGACCTATACAAATCATGGAAAACGTTCTGGTTTTATCATCCTCTCTCTGACTTCCTCAAAGTTCTGCCTGAATTTCTTCTCTTTATGTAAAATGTCAGTTGCTCCCTGCCAGCCCACTCTGTCTTATTTAGATATTTATTTAAAGTACAAATACCTAAGAACCAGCTCTGTATTTGCTTATGTCTTTATACTATTCCTGGAGAAGTGGGCGGCCCCGTTTCAGGCATGGTTTCTGGATAGATACTGCTGGGTTAGAACAGAACAGCCACAGGACAGCTGTTAAATAGTCCACGTCTTCTGCTGACTAAACATTTACCATCTCTTCTTCATTAACGATGAGGAGGAAAATGCCACGCTTTTTTCCCTGTGGCAAGTTGACAACTTTCTGTTTTTCTGAAGGAAAACCTGCGCGAGCTTGGATTTGTTAGAAACTTCAATTTATACTTCACTTGGCTGTCTTTTCATCCGTGTGCATTCTTAGTCCCCATTAAGAGACTAATCTGGTCAAAATGTTAATAAATTTAACTGTAGCACCTACTCTGCTCAGTGCAGAGGTCATTATCGTACTTAATAGTTGTGACAGAAAACTGGCAAGTGGTATTTTAGGTTTCTGTCCAAGCTACTCTCCAAGTGATGCTGAACTCTATCTCATGTCAACCATCTATAAAGTAGAGTAACAGCTCTATCACAGTGTTGAGTTTAATTAACTAATAATTATAAAGCAGTACGAGGTTGCTTGCTATCATTACAACTAGAGCCGAATTCAGCCATGTAAGTTGATTTATTTTCTTATTTTTCATTTAACTTTTTCTGTTTCAACCACACAAAAGAGATAGTGCCTTTGGTGGGGAGGGGAAATCTCTTCTTGTCAATCCTCTTATAGACCTGTCCTCTTAAAAATAGGGCACCCTTAAAGAGGTGGACCCCGTAGATGCTAATTCTTTACAAGCAGTGTTTAGCACAGGTATCATCATGCTGTTTCCTCAGGAAAAGAAGTGCTAAGTCCATTGAAGAAGGATGTCTAAGGGTACTAATTATGCAGAGAAAAGTACAAATGGGCCAGGTATCTCAAAACAAGGAGTGAGATCATGACTTCCTTGGCAGCCTCTATTTAGTGTATGTTGCATCTTTCCTTCACAATTCATCTTTGAGCTCTCTTTTTCTTGTATATAGAGGGGTTTTTTCTTTTTCTGCGTTTGCTGCCAAAGCAGCAGCAGTGTTACCCGTGCTGCCAGGTCCTCCTGCCATCAGTGGTGGTTTCTGGGCTGGGCAGCCTGTACCAAGGCTGGACACTGATGGCTTTCTCCAGGGAGCTCTCCACAGCAGAATGGCTCAGCATCCACACAGGCAGCTCCTCAAAATTTCACACTGAGCATCTCCAGGTAGAATTTAATCATAAAGGATCAGTGTGATGATACCGTGTTAAAATTAAGCCATTTTGTTTGAGGAATTTTAATGAAAAAGTTCCTGGTGTGTATTTCTGGGAAGCTATACAACTTGTAGAGAGTTCTGCTGCTCGCTTCTGCCAAACTACGATATAGAAATAAATATCACAACATGGATTCTGAAGTAAAAGCTCATGTACCGAACTGACTGCTAGTGCAGTCACAAGTGCCATGTACAAGAAGACAAAAAATGTTTTAAAAAACCCTACCAAAATAAAACAAATATAGAATGAGAGAGTGAGCGATTTACATCGAAGGCTTTCACTTCATCCTTCAGTCACTTGATGGTTCTTAGTCCCTTTGGGATTGTAAATATTTAACTGAAATAAGTTATTTAATCTTGATGCGATTCCTCAGAAGTATTTCAAGGCCACTTTCAGGGTGCTATATTTTAATATCGAGTGGAGGTTTTATTTCATGGGTTGAAAACAGAAGTGGTTTTCCAGCTGACCGCTGGGTGCAGAGTAAATGAGAGTGGAGACGATTTCTCTGCGCTGAAGCTATCATTTCCCTAATTGCAAAGCTGTGTCAGCTCTATACAGGGATTGCAGAGAACTGCGGATGAAATGCTCTGCAAGACGCACGCCGATTTCTGTCATGTTCTTTTAAAACTCAGTGTATTGTTTCTGGTACAATTATTTGAGTAACAGAGTTAGTGAATAGAATTACATTTCTTTTAACATTTTAGCCCATAAGTATTTTCTGTCTCTGATTTTAAAAAAAGAAATTTAAGTAAAAAAATAACCAGTATCAACTGTTGATTCAAGGTAATGTGATTCCTTTCCAGCCATGATCTAATTTCAATAATTAATTTACATCACGGTATCTGTTCTGCGTGAGAATTATGTTGACAAATAAACCAGTGTGCTCCAAGTAAGCAGCTTGCATTCCTGTGCTCTGTCTTCTTTCTACAGCTATTTTGGCTATGTTTTATGTGGTGTTTCCCTCTTTCAGCTCATTTTACCACACATAATACTCTCTCATTAAATAAACAGAGCAGGTCAAACAGTTTGAAATTATGTGTTTTTAGTGGCAGTGGCTGTTTTTTTCCCTGAGGATTTTCCCTCTACAGCTTGAATCAAGTGGTTAAGTAGTAAATTTGCACTAAAGCACTACTAAGCAGTTATGGCACGTGGAAGAACATAATCATTATGAACACCAAAACACTCCATCTATTGTGTATAAGGAAAATGTCAGCCTAGAGCTGCTTACATCAACCTGTTAATATACCTGGTGTATAGGAAATGGAAGAGAACCCTTATGTGGGTTTGTAAATCACCTTCAGTGCTGTGTTATCATGGGGATGTTGTCAACACCACAATCTTCCATTTCACTGGCCTTGAGTAAAGCACACCAATATCTGTGCTGTGCTTTACGTTCATTGTCCATCTCTCTCTGTCTTATGGAAGCAGTAGTACACGGTTTGCAATCCACCACAGCCCTGCCTTCCTTTCTAATGAAGAACAAAGGACATTTTGATGTACTTCAGCTGGTCTACACGCCATTAGATGGTTGCCTAAAAACTGTTTCCTTCTTATTCTACAAATAATGAGAGTAAACAACACATTATAAAATATCTATGTTGCTTGGATGCCTTTCAGCCTCCATGCTGGGAAATAGCAGGTTGAGATCCTAGGAAGGTCTGTAATTTTTGTTTATAACATGAAAATGCCATTTAAATCTGGGGGAAAAGGAGGAGAGTGCGAGCAGTAACTGTCTGTTGCTGAAGATCCTGACAACTTTTTCTGGGTTTTTTTCCTGATTGAGTTTTTAAGTGACTCTGAAGTTCAAATTTTTGTAGGAAATGTTTTCTGTCAAGAAATATTAAGTGACTTTAGGGTTGATCTTTCCTAAATTTCCTTTCAGATTTCTTCAGTTCCGTAGGTAAATTTAAAAAAGCCCTTCTGATGCTGATACTGCGAAAGCAGCAGCTTCTGTCAATCCAGAATAGTATCCCAGACAGACCCTGTCACTCCAGAATGGTATCTCCAGTGACTCACTCTTAAATGCTGGCCTTTCTGCATACCCTAGGAACCACGTCACCCTCAGAGGTTCCTGTGATTTCCTTCCAGGAACAATTCTAACCTTAAACTATAAATCTCACAGAGGAATTCCCAAATGAAAGCTGCTTTCTGTCCAAAACAAGCCCAGAGGATTACTGCTCCCAGCAGGTTTTGAGATGCCCTGTAGTGAGCTCTGAATCCCCCATCCCCACTCGATCACTGCAGTTCATCGCGGCACAACCGGTTCAGGTGGGATGGGCTTTCACAGCATCCTCTGAGGCTCAGCAGAAGCTGATGGCTGGATGCTGTTCAATCAGAATTAACACCTTACGTGTTCATAAGTGTCATGCGGGTGTTGTGCTGATCCTCTACAAGAGGGAGGGAAGTGTTGCTCCAGACTGAAACCCAAAAGCTGCTGAGCCTCCGTAAATGCCTTCGTAACCCGCCGTGGCCTGCCACATAGGGATACGGCCTTGCGGGGAATGGCACCCAGTTCTGACTATTCTTGTCTCTCTCTCTTTGGGGATTGGCAGCAACATGAGATATATTAACTCGCTTTATGTCTTCTTTTGACATTGTAAAAATAGAAGCTGCATTAACATTTTTGTGCAGCTGAAGTTAAACTCGTCTTCTCTGCGCTTTTACTTTGGTTGCTGTCATGACATAATGCTTTCAGCAATTCCATCTGACAACTAATGAACCATGAATCCGAGGGAAGTTCAGCATTCGAGATCTTCCAGTGATGGATTTTATCAAATAACCCATCTTGCGATGTCTCTTGTGATCTGCCTGTTGCCCTTATAGTATTTGGCTGTAGTGGTATAACCCAAGACTGATGAGTAAATAAAAGCACAAAGAATTGCTGCTATAAAAATTTATAGTGATGGATTTGGACATTTAATCATTCCATTTCAGGAAAAGAGCTGCCTGGAAGCTGCACAGCATTTGAGAATTGCTCTTCCCTCCTGTCATTTCTCTCTACCATTCTTATAAATTATCACTAAGTGCAATGTTACTTTACAACAACGAGTTTCTTCCATGCCAAGTCTGACAAGTGGGTTTCATGTCTTACTTGTTTTCTTTTTCAGCATGTTTCAATAACTCTGGTTTAACACATTACTGCATTCTTAATAGTGATTTGTTTTATGTTTTATATTGACAGTGCGAGAAGCAAAAAACCTAATTCCTATGGATCCAAATGGACTTTCAGATCCTTACGTTAAACTGAAGCTCATCCCAGACCCTAAGAATGAAAGTAAACAAAAAACAAAAACCATCCGTTCTACTCTGAATCCAGACTGGAATGAGGCATTTACTTTGTAAGTTAAATGCCTTTTAATGGAATATCTTTGTGTGGATTGAATCATTTATTTCAGCCTTGCACTGAAAACTCCTCTATTTCTCTCCCTGTTAGTAAGTTAAAACCTACAGACAAAGACCGGCGGTTATCTGTAGAGGTCTGGGACTGGGATCGAACAACCAGAAATGATTTCATGGGATCTCTTTCCTTTGGGGTGTCAGAGCTGATGAAAATGCCAGCCAGCGGATGGTAAGCTTCTGAACAGAGAGCAGGAGAGCGTATATCACAAGAAGTTTAAAACTAGTATTTGTCTTCTGTATTACTTCCTTTTTTGGAGCTTTTCACTGTGTATCATGTTATAAATTCACTGAAAATGCAACTAAACCTAGGAAACGTAGGCTATATAACTAAGAAGGATAATAAAAGGAATGCTTTTCTTTTGTGTTGTTCGTGAAACTTCTGCTGGAGCCAGGAGCTGCTGCAAACTCACTTCTGTGTACATAGTCTTGTGATATGAATTTTATTTTTATCTCAAATATGATCTATTCATTACTAAGCATATCCTGTTATATATAGCTCTGCAAATTCAAAGTGCATGGGAACTGCTTTTATAACGCTATCTTATTACTTACAAAGCATGGGGTAGAATGCATCCCATCTTCTCAAAAAGTGCATCTCATCAAAGATAATTGTGGCTGGAGATGAAGGTTCTACCAGGTTGGTATCTCCCATCGTATCATAGGGTGGGGGGAAGAATTTCCATGTCCATTAAACTGCCTTGGCACTTAGTTTGGGATTAAAGATCTAGTTTTACATTAAATATATTCTGTTTCTGAGTTTGCTTTAGATCTTGGAAAGCAGTTCTTTACATACCTGTGACACTGATACAAACCACACACAGACAGCTAAATCAGGTTTTAAATCTAACAGGAACATGACTGCAGAGGCATAATTTATTCTCCTATGTGCCACAGGTACAAGCTGCTGAATCAAGAAGAAGGTGAATATTACAATGTCCCGATTCCAGATGCTGATGACGATGGAAACGCAGAGCTCCGACAGAAGTTTGAGGTGAGGATTAAACGCAGATGGGTGCAACTATATAAGGCATACATCTTTCACTTTGTCACAGAAATTGCCTGTTAAAAAGTTCTATAGTAGAGCGTTACTATTTCTGTTGCCTGTGACAGCAGTATGTACCTTTGGGTTCCTTGAAGATTGGGCCAAGTCATTTAATTCAGGAGTGGTATCATTTTTGTGACAGTTCAGCTTCTCTGCTGTGACACTTCTAAGTTGGTATTTTAAAATATTTTATGTCGAATATATGTAACAATTTCAGTGTCTTTTAATACTTGCTGCAAAACCTGCCAGCCTCTGTCACTAGTGCCTGTAACACTTGACAAATGAAATTCTCAGAAACAACAGCGTTTTAATACTCGGAATGTTTCACACTAAATGCGGGGTTTTGTTAAAGAGAATATTTACAGTGTTAATTACTGATAATTGGGAGCCTCAGAATCTTTGTCGAAGGTTGTCATCTGAAATTCTGATATCTTTAACGTGGGTATGGATGTTTTTAAGGATAAGAGCTATTGCTGGGTATGTACAGAAGCACTGAAGACAAGCAGTAATTTCTGCAGTCTTCCTGCTGTCTGTGGTGCAGGTTGGAGTTGGGACTCACAAGCACGGCTGTGCTGGGTTCAGCTCATCCAACTTGACTGCCCTTCCCAGCTGCATACGCAATATTGAATTTGAAATATTCCAACCTACAATATTGGTTTCTTTTTTTCTGGTCGTACATTTGTAACTTCAGTCTAGCTGTTTTATCCAGAAAGTAATTGATCTACCTGTTGTGCATAAACAAACACTCAAACCTGTTCCTTTCAACCTGAAATGGCAATTTTTTATGTTCACCATCAGGCAGGATTCTCCATTGTTAGAGTAAAAGATGGGTTAACCCAAGAAAGTGAGGAAAAACGGCATGTGTTCAACTTTCAAGAAAGAAAAAGAAAAGGTGCATCAATTTCTTCTGAACACATTTGGATCAGCTACCATACTTTTGTCTGCAGCATGAGCTATGATTTTTGCTGTACATTTGAGAAGTATTTGAATCTCCATTTCATTTTCCTTTCTTTGCAATTGTGATCTGACCAGTGTGATTTTATTTTGCTGCACTAGGTCATTTTCTATTCAAGATCTTATTTACTTTTTATCCCCCCTAGAAAGAACAGTGTCAACAGTAATTCTTTTCACCCCTTGCACGTCTCTGTGCAATATTCAGAGGCTGGAATTGGGTACAGATGTAGATGTTGGTGATACAGGTATGGAAATTTACCCGTTTTTTCTCAGGACAGAGATAGCACAAAGATAAGTCACTAAAATGATCTATTTTAAAGTGTCAGTTATTATATATGCAGTGTGTTTGCGTATTGAATTTACAATCTCTTAGGTTTTTTTCTCTGAAGCTTATTGTAAATACATGGGTTGCAGAATGAACAGCCAGGGTTTATCTGTGTTCTGTAACGAAGTGGAGTAGAAATCCTGAGAGGTGACATCTTGTAAAGTCACTGGACCGGGGCCCAGGAACAGCAGCTTCACTTAGGGTCAGCTCTGTCTCAGAAATAATTAGTCTGTCTCAAAGTCTAATTAGTTCAGCTTCAGCACCGTGTATCTGAGGCTTTCCCTGCTCTGGAGGTAGCCTGGTTGCTGCTATTTTAGTGGTCTGAATTAATGAAGGGAGTAGGCTTTCAGGGAACACAGGGTCTCTGGGAATATCATTTACAGAGTTGCATAATGAGCAGTTTTAAACCGTAGTGACGATACATGGGAATACTGGGAGCCAAACAAAATGTGTAATTATGACCAGACCAAGGCTGGTGTAATGCAGTATTGCATGGTAAAAGAATTTAGGGTCAACCTCCCACTGTCTCTCAAAGTTGACTGCTGTGAGAAGGAATGGAGGAAGGAACAGAGAAGAGCAGCACCCTCCACGTCATGTTCAGCCTTGGTTTCAAGGGGAATTACTGTGATGGCTTATAAAAATTAACAGCACAGATGTCTGGATGGTGGCATTTAACTTATTAGCTATTCTGGTACGGTGCATAAGTGGTGCTGACTCTGATCATCTTTTACGTTCCTTTTCTTATCGTTTATATCTTGGCTTACATAGTCATTTTATTTTAGGTACCCTATACTGGGGAACAAGTAGATAGCGCTGAGAGATATGTTGCTATTTGTGATTTAGTGACATCATCTAAATAAATATTTCCACTGTTCCGAAATCAGCTTTGAAACCTTACAGGAAGAAGGTTGCAGATTTTGACTGCCATTTTACGAGGGGAGAGTATTTGTCAGGAAAATAAGGAATATAGAGAGCCTGAGAGGTTGTACTGGGCTGTCGTCTTATTTATCCATTTATAGAAAAGAGTAACTGCAGACTGCTTGCTAATCAAGTCTGCATTTGTGGTTCTTGGTCTGCTGTTCGATATATGACAGTGTGATTGATATCCAAGCTACGTTGATTTAATTTTTAGTACGAAATTACAACAATTTCTGCAAAAGTACTGCATTACTGATATCAAATACTTGAAATGAATAATGGTGGTCTTCAGAGTAAAGAGGAGCTATATACAGAGCCTGAGCAATGCAGGAATAGAGAAACTTTAGGATGAGAATTGCATTGCTTAATATTAAGAAAGAATAAGAGTATTTCTAGGTTATAAAAGATCAGAGAACCAGTAGATGTGAAATTTCCAAAACTAATTTCTGGTCTTAAAAAAAAGTCGAAGACATTCTTAAAACTGACGTTGCCCTTTTGACCGGAGTTTAGAAATGTGTCCAGATTTTTTAAGTCATTTATTCAATGTAAATTGACTATAAAATAGCCGTAAGATATTATAAATAAGTAAAAAAAGAATAGATTCAAACCTCCTCTTCACTTACATTTGTAATTGAGCAGTAAAAACGATTTGTCATGAGAAGACGTTTCCTCATGGCCCATTCTGCCAGGTCTAACCCAGTTGAAAAGTTAACACCTGACTTGTGCCCGGTAGTTTTAAATCCTTTCCAAGAAATGGGACCAAACTGGAAAAGAAAGAGAAGAGCTGAGGACGGTGGTTTCGTTAATGGAATCATGCAGTGACCTCGCTAGGGACTTTTAGATTTTACTACAAGGAGTCTTCTTTTTATCTACAGTCTATTTATTATGTATATGAAGTTGTGCTGCGTGTAGAAAGTGAGGTATATTATGCATAGGTGCAGTGCAGTGTTTTCTATACAGCAAATTTAAATCAATCTACGTCTTTTCTGGATCTCAGCTATCACTAAAACTTATGCATCAATTATCTGCTCATTTAGCAGTATGATCAAATCTGTCTTCAGTGATTTATAGATGATACATCATTATTAATATTTAGAGATAAAAATACACTCCTGTAGGAAGTGGAGGCAGGATAAAATCTGTCACTGTTTTTCATTTGGCTTTAACCTGTGCTTGTGAATTCTCTCTCCGGAATGACATTATTTGTGGCCATCTCCAAACGAAGCTCCTTTCTCCACAGGCATATTCAGAATAATTGTGGCTGCTCCATAATTGTCCGTGCTGAGGTTGCCATGGGAACTCCCAACAGTCCCAGGTGGCTCCCTGGACCCAAACTGGCAAATCTTTTAACTGCAATATCTACTATTGCTTACATACTTATTTTCCTGGTATAGTATTTTGCTAGTCAAGGAAAAAACCACAATATTGAAATAATACAGCTTTACTGTATTTTTAATTATCTATTTTTGCCATTTAGGGTTTTTTTTCCTATTTTTCTTTAATTTGGGGAAAAGAAACGTGCAAATTCTGAAACTTCTACTGTAGGAAGTCATTTCAGTTTTGTCAAGCCCCGTTTCCTGTAATTTGCTGCTTAGTAAAGCAATCCTTGTTAATACTAGAATAATACTGGTTTAAAAGTAGGCTGGTTAATTATTCTGTCTGTCCCCTTCTTTCCACATCACCATCATGGAAAATGTTATTAAAAAGAAAGCAGCTGTTGTGCTCCGTATCAATGGGTTTTTTTAATTAAAAAAGAACAGAGTAGCTCTAATCCTTACATGTGGAGACATTTACCAAGTACAAGGTATATTAAGTGATGGGAGCAATCTGAGTCACTACAGTCAGCTTTGGTAATTGAAGTGATCCAGGCAAATTGTTATGAGTTAATAGGTTAGTGCTCATATAATCTTCATTTTAAGGCATCTGTGGGGAAGGTATGTAATAGTCCACCTGGTACATACTCTTCACATATCAGACATTTTCTCTTGGTCTAATTATTTCCTTTAGTGCAGCTCTCTGTGTGTTTCAGTAGAACAAATGGGTTCCCTTAGTTTCTGAGCGAGCTCAGGCTGCTCTCCCCACCGTGGGGATCCACACAGGACCATTCTGGTGGACCGTGGGAGGTGCTTGCTTGGGGATGTACATCCACATCCACATCCACATCCACCGCTGTGGCTGCTAGCATCGAGTTAGAGATGTCGGCTGAGGCATCGGGTGCAAGTGGCTTCTCATGGCTGTGAGTTTTGAACCATTCCATTTTAGTTCAGTGAATAACAGTAAAATTACACCACAATAAGATGATGTTGTTCTGTTAAGTACTTTTTCTGCAGTCGATGCTAGGAAAAGCAGGTACCGTTTCCATCTACTAGTCAATGCTGTGGACCAGATCCATAAAACCATGTGTAACAGAATAACCAGACAGGGTGCCCAGGGAGAGTGGCCATACTGGTTTTATGCTCTATTTGCAGTCTCCCCTTTCTGAGATTGATCGGGGTATTACCACACGAGTCGCTTCTTGAGCTGCCCTGTGCTGGGGAAGGCTGTGCAGGAGGTAGACCTGTTGTCTCTGTTTGCAGACCAAGCAGATCAGACATAAGGAGAGAGGGAACAGGATTCAGAACAGGGTAGATATTGCATCCAGAAATTGGAAGTGTACAGTCAGTGGTGACATTTCTGTGACATCTCAGTGCTTCTAAACATAACTGTTATGATGATCCTCAAGAAAATGTCTTTCAAAATGCCTTGCCATTCT